GTTTCTGTTTGACACTCTGCACATATGATTGTTGTTCTAAAAAAAAACTATGAATGGTATATTCTAGTGTGATTTACTATTGTTGATAATCAATACTGGATTGACCTAGTTGATGTCCACATGTATTCAATTCCACTGGATCTTGTAATACTAATAAACACTTGAGACAAGTATATTTTGTGTCAAGAATATATTTGTTTCTTGTCATAATAACTAATATTAAAATAATCATTTAGCTGTAGTCAGGTATTTCGTTTGTTTATCGAAAAACGAAATGCAGGTGTGTATATAGACATGATTTATATCACACTATGATGCCTATGGAAATTTCCAATAAAGAAGGAAATGAAATAACCGTTCGTTGGAAAATAAATCAATTTGATGACATCATTAAGAGAAAAAAATTTCTTAATACCAAGATAATGACATTGTATGACACTGAGTAAATATATGTGAAGAAAAAGATTTTTCTGATATTAATATATTCTCTCAAATAAGTGTGAACCACAAAATAATTCATTTTTCTTCTTATTTCGTAAACTTATGACTATCGGTTACAACTTCCTACGCAATATTAATAATCATTGATTGAAATTACATTGCGAAAATACTTTACTTCAATTCATAGAAGTATAATCTTTAAGAAGTCATCACATTGATTATCAAGTAATTCCATTATTTAAAAAAGAAATGTTGAGACTATTTGCATTAATTGTCTCGAGAACTTTAATTTCATTTACATTTCTCATGATGAACACGGAAAATACCAATGAATTTGATTGATTGAAACCAAATAATTGATTTTTAATTTTTGAAATATAAGCATGAGGTTTAATTCAACTAAATCATGTATATTCATCTTGAACAGTAGTTGTTTATATTCGATCATCAGTTTTGATATATGGTCTACCTGTTGAATAAGATGTTCACTATTTATCGATCATTACATGTCATTTATACAAATGATTTCATCAGAAAAAAACAACAATCATCAGAATGTCAAGAATCTATGGTTATTTGAAACTTTGCGTGGATATTATGAGTCAACAAGGTAGGTTAGAATTTTCCAACACAGCCATGGAAATTTCCTACGAATCAAAGAACAGTCAAAAGGTATTTGATTCATGTGCACCTAAAATAATGAGATGAGTCCGATTAATACTGGTTATTGGACCATTTTAGGCAAACATTTGAGTTCACTTATAAAAGCAACAGATTTTTTAAAATTTATGTGAACATTTTAACATTACACGATGTTACGAAATATAATCCTGCTGATCCTTTTACTATTCAAACCTTCAATATTTTACTATATGGTATAAACTCAAATCTTCGTTTCATCCACTTTTCTTGAGTAAATGCGTGATGATGAAATGACAAATAAAGAACGTCAATTTCGGGGAAGAAGAAATAATGACAAATATGGAGCGACTTGACTCATGAAAACAGAATGACACATGGAGAAAAAAGGTTTTTACCTGGAGAAATGTCATTCAAATGCTTTTTTTTGCAGTGTGGCGCAATATCAAATAAAGCGTACTTATAACGATGCAAATATATCGATACTTTATTAATTTTATTGATGTCCAGTTTTATCTTGTCATTCGAAGAATAACTGGGAATCAACATTAGTTACAGATTTGAGTATAGATTGGCATAGAAGGTTTTTTTTCCAATGAATTTGGTATTTCACTAATGTCATCTTCTTCAGACCAAGACATTCAAGAACTACATTATGTGTTCTTGACTTTCATCTACGCTTTTACAAGCTATTGATTATATTTATTTACGAAATTAAATATTTTAGTTTTGAAGAAAAAAAATACAGCAGAAGAAACTTATTTACTTACTAGTTGATGTATTAATGAAATACAAATAGTTCTCATTTCTTTTGTTTTTCTTATTGGTTAAAAATGTCGCTAAGAGTTGAGATAAAAACACCAAGAGAAAGGCTTAAAAACCAGGCCTCTCCTGACCAAATCAGAAGATTTCGTCACTCTGATGGTCAAGTTCGAACATCGCATATACAGATGTCTTCTATCATCTGTCACATGGAACAAACAATAACTCTAGCGAGAACCCGTGTGTACTGCACGGTACTTTTCTATTATCGAAAGCAAGTTTTTCGTTAGGATCAGGGAATTATCTGGTATATAATTAAAATCTTTATCTCCGTTCTATCAAAATAATTTATTTACATAGTTTTCATTTTATTTTAAAACAAGAAATTTAGAAAATTTCTTTGAAAACAATGTTTTTAGTTTTATTTTTTTCACTGTTTTTTTCTTCTTTGATGACTTTTACCTTGATAGACGTTAGAGAGCGAACTCTTGAGGGTGTAGGTGTGGGCAAAGATGTTGGACTTGTCTTCAGCCGCATCCACACTCCACACCCACACTCACACCCACACCCATACCCGCTTATTGGATGAAAAAGCATCTTTCCCTATAAAAGAATGTCTTCAAAGAAGAGAAAACTCTTTTTCAAAACATAATTTTCTTTGTATATGTGAACATTCCATTTTATTGCGTTTGGAGAAATTCTTGCTTTCTTTTATGATTGCGCTGAGTTACTCACAAAGCTTATGTCAGAACAGAAAAAAACAATCACATATTTCACTTGTCTTCAACTTGGAAACAACGGCAGGTAAAACGTAGAAGATTATGCGACGTACTCGTATCAGTCTGTCTATAAATTTTTATTGTCAATAAATCGAAAGATAAGATTACTGAAGTGAAATTATTTGAAAGATACACAGTTATGTATGCTGAAGAGCCTGATTCTCTAATCACAGTGAAAAGAATTCATCTATCGAAATTTCGGCTCAGCGACAACAATCAGAACAAATAAAAACAATCTTGTTTGAGCGTCCATGATAGATTCAAGACTGCCTCTATTTCTATTTTTTAACAATCTGATCCGTCATATTCAAAGGAAGCGATAGATGAAAGGAAAGCAAACAAATCTTTTGGCTTCCTTCGCCGACGAACGAGAGTCACCTGTATTTTTTTCACGTTCATCTGTGCGAACATATATGTCGCCGAAAGAAACTTTCACTCTTGTTAAAAAATGTGTATTTGTCTCTATTTTCAGACTTTTAAACTGTAAAAACTAGGTTAATCGATGGAGTGTACATGTCTCAATGATTTACCCAATGAAATATTACGGCAAATTCTCTCGGAACTTTCGCCAATCGATATTCTTCAAGGTTGGTGGAACATTAACATGCGATTCAATCGAGTAATTTTGTCGCTTGAATATAAAATCTGTTTGCGGAAGAAAAATAGTAGTCAAAATGAATTGCAAGCCATATTATTTTTTCGACAGCAAGTAGTCTCATTAGTTATAACGAAGAATTGGTGCAAATTATTTGATCGATTTGTCAACCTTCGAAAACTTCGAGTTCTCGGATTTACATATCCATTTTCAACAACACATATCAATCCTAAATCATTACCTTATTTGACGCATTTAGATTTTGAACTGGGTGAGTTTGATTGGGATGATTTCATGGGTGCTAGTGGCTGTCATTATGTTCAACAAATAGTACAATGTCATTGCTACAAACTGTTGAAGACACCCATTATTGCCTGTCAAACATTGCGCTCTGTTAAATTTATCTGTTGTACAAGTGAAGGACTTGCTTCTCTTCTGCGTCTTGCTCCCAACCTGGTTCATATCGATATTGGCCTGAACACACCTCTCACACTCGACTTTGACAATCTCCAGTTGGTTGATATTTCTACTACGACCGAGGATACTCAATATCATTCGTTTACTCCTATACCAACTCACCATTTCGAAGGTATTTGTCATTCTCGTCTACATCGAATGCAATTGAGATTGGCACCAGAGACAACTTTGAAATGGCTCGATTCATTTTTACCTAGTATACCTAATGTAATACACTTCACTCTTAATATTGCACGTTCTTACGAAGTTTTCTCATTTGTCGAATTACATCGCATTATTACTGACCATCTTCCCAATCTCAAACAGCATAATTTTCACTTTAGATACAATTGTCTTCCGAAAGAGTTCGATCTTGAAAAGCACCGAGCTATCGGACCATTGTTCAAAACAATGATAGCTAAAGAGATCAAATCCGGTCCGATGAAGTTATTGGATGTTTCTGTCAATTGGCCGAAGAAGAGTTACAACGAACGGATGGATTAATTTTCGAAATAATCATTGATTTTTTTCTAACATATATTCTACGATGCCCGGCATTCATTGAAGACTACTTCCAATATTGACTAATATCCTGTTCTGTTCACGATAGCTTCAAGACAAGAACCTATTCGATATTAAAAATAAACTAACGTGTATAATAACGTTTTTAATAAGTTCTGTTTTACTTATTCTTTGATCGAAAAATGACGAGACTCATGAATATCTTCAAAAAGAATAGTGAAAATCTGGGTGTGACTATGGCTGTCACTGTGAGGAGGATAATAATACCCACACCCACATCCACATCCCACCCATAGATTCTGGACGAGTACACAATTCTAATTTAAAACTAATATTTTATAATTTCTATTGATCATTTTAATTGGTGGAAAAGTGAAGACATGCTTTGTCTCGAAAATTTTGACCAGCCTGTTAAATAAGAGATCAATCTTCTACAGAAGACCATTAATATTCTCATTGAATGATACTTTATGTTTATATAAATATTTCTAGGTTATTTCGTATCAATAAATCGAAATAACGACTACGAAAACCAGACAGATGAATAGAAACAAAGAAGCAAGAAATTAGAAAACAGAAAAAAAAATACAAAGTTTCTTGTTGTCATAGGCGAAGAAAGCAAAAAAAGACGTTGAAAAATTTGACTTTAATCTTAAATGATACCAGATTTTCTATTTTTTTTTTCGATTTTATCACTTTATAGAAAATAATTTGATGATACTATTAAAAAAAACAAAATTTTTATTAGGTATTTTCATGAATAAATTTTCGACATATTTTTTTTTAATATAAATTAATCATTTATCTTAAGCCAAGTAATGCAATACACCGTTTTCATTTGATTGATGTTCAAGGTATTGTTCTTCAATTAATGTTTCAATACATTTCTATAATAAAAAGAAAAAAAACAACAATTACAATTAAATTTTTCCATAGAATCAAACTAGAATTTACTTTAATCACAGGAATTTGAGGTTGAAAACGAGAACTTAATTGATGAATAACTTCTTCAGTTAATAGTGCATGTTTTAATGTTTTTCGTTGTTTCATTGTTCGAACAATTGCAGCTCGAATAAGGATTTTTCGATCTTGATCAAGTGTTCGATATAAACCTTCGATATCTTTTTGTTCGACTGATTTTATTGGTACATTCAAATTTATCTTTATTTTTTTACTAAAAAAGAAATAAAAAGAAAAATTAAGAATTTTTCATATTGAATCTTTAGACATAAGTTAAACTTCTTGTCATATTATTTATACTACAATTATCATCTTCTGACTTCGTCAAATTCATAGAAGATAAATTCGAATGCACGAAATTCAATTATCTACAGTTTCATGTATTAAAATTTGAATTCATACGCATCATGTGGAATTTAGTACGATAACATATCTGATCTAACATAGATTTGTTAATTTTCGATTTTAATTCGATTATATATTTTATACATAGTAATAATTTATGAACATGTGTTACAAAATTTCAAACTATTTCAAGTACTTTTGTTCGAATTCAAATCGAAATCTAAAAATTCAAATTCATTATAAGACTAAAATAGAGTTCTATGTAATGACGTTAACTATCATTCTGCAGAAGCGTCTCAAGATCACTAAGATTGATTGCGAGGGGAGAGAGAGGTTGACTCCCGACTCCTCTCCGCTGCTCAAGATACTCCTGGTTTTCTGTATTATTTGTTGCAATCAAATATTTTTTTGTATTGTTCTTGTTTTCTTAGCCATCATATTATTCTAAGATATGAATGAATAATTATCCATCCATCATTTTTTCATTTGACACCATCCGGTAAAGAAGCCTGCCGGATCGAAAATTTCCGGACTTGGTCGAATCGTACTTTGATAATCTCAAAGAAACTTTCTAATCGAAATCAAATAGACACTCCAACGATACGAAATATTATATCGTATTATCGGAATCACAACGTTCTTTGAAACTTATTAACCAAAAATCGAAAATTCTTTTGCAATTTTCTTATAAACTCTTGAATCAAATGATAAGAAAAAAAAACATACAAACCTTTTAAAATTATTCGCTATCTGAATATTATAATTCATTTTAATATCATTTTCATTTAAATCTTTTTCAAGTTCATCATTATTAATTTCTGAACATATAATCAATTTACTTTTCAATAAATTCCAAAGAATTTGCAAGAATAAATTAACATTGATTTGTGTTTCATCTTGCATTTGTTCAACTGTCCAACTTGAACGTTTATTAAATAAAAGTAAAATTACCATTTCATATGTTGATACCTTTAATATTTCAAAAACAAAATCATTCATTCTTTAGAATAAATCATTACATACATGTAAAATATATTTTTGTTCAGTATACAATGTTTGTAAATCTCCTTTTGAATATTGATGAAGCAATACTAACTTACGACCATTATGTTGTTGATTATAAAACATAATAAAATTTTCAAATGTTTTTTTAAGCTAACAGAAAAAAAAAATTTAATAAATATGATTGAAAAATATCGATAAAAATAATTCTTACTTCAATTGGTAAAACAAAATTTGATGGTGCAGAAAATGGCCATGAATTTGTTTTAAGAACCATTACAGAAAAATCAACTGAAAAAAGAAAGATAATAAATAATCATATCAAATATAAGTTTAGCAAAAACAAAATGAGACTGTTTATACCACTATTATGCAAATTATTGTGTTCACAATATATTCGATATTGATCAGTTAAATTTTTACTAGTAATACAAATATCTTGAAGCATTTGTTGTAATTCTGATGTATAATCAAAACCACATGTATGCTAAAATAGACATTAAATATAGATTTATTAAAATTAAGAATATATTATTATTATAGTTACTTTTAATTTTGAAATTATTAATTCTTCATCATCAAAGGATGCACATAATTGACCTACTAAACGTTTAGCAAACATTTTGCGATAAAATTTTAGAAATACATCTTTATTTTCAATATAATTAAAAACCACCTGAAAAAAAAACGAATAAAAAAGAGAGTGAATAATTAAGTAGAAAATAATACCATAATTTGATTGAATTTTTCTTCGAGATCAGTCTCTTCTACAGTTCTATTTCTATAAATTTAAATAATATATTTCAATAGTAAATATCGTAAATTTCGACAAACCCTTTTCGTAAAAGTGTATTACAATATTGAGCTAATAATTCAGATGATTTCGTTGTATTATTAACTGCTGTTGTTACTGCATTATTATTAATAAATTTAGCACAAGCCTAAAATACACACAAACATAAAATAACAAGAAATGAGATAAAGAAAAAAATTCAAGTTACTCGATCAAGAGCAGCAGTAAAACCTTGTTCACTATTAAAAGCTTCATTTACAAGTTTGAAGAATTTCGTATGAATATCAAGAATTGTTTCAATATATAGTTTTGGATTCTGATCAACGAGAAAAAAAAATGGTAAGAAAATCGAAACGAAAAATTTTGTTTTTACATTAAGTGCAGTGCTACTAATTCGTTCGATAGCATCAATACCCATTTGATGAATGTGAGCTTCAACAATTTCTTTCAATTTATCAGTTGCATTTGGTACTCGACTGACTAATTTGAATAGAAGTGCCAAATCTATTAAAATAAAAAAATAAATCATATAAAGTTTTTTGTAAGAAGAAAAACAAACGAATATGTCAATCATCGGTATTTTTTATCTAGATTTTCTTTTCCGAAGAAGCGATTTCAAGTTTCGAAAAGGTAAACATCTCTTTTTGGAAGCATAAACACAAAACGATTATTTTATCCAACGTAGTGGTAGCGCCCCTCCGAGAATTTTAAATCAGAGCTGCCGGCCTGGCCTGGTGCCTGGCAGGCGCCTGGTGGCCTGCCAGGCCAGGCCTCCTGTCCAGGCTGAATTTTGAAAATTTGGCCTGGCCTGATCTGTCCAGCCAATATATCCGGCCTGGTTCCAAGCCAGGCCAGGCCAAAGTTGGTGGCCTGGATTTGAGCAATATTAGTTTCCTTTGGGATAAACATGAATCATAAGACAACTATATGTTCAAAATTTTTTCAACCAACTTTCACCAGTTTATAGTTGGTTCTTAATCTCTTAATAAAAGAGTAAATATATAATGAAAAAAGTATATTTCAGTGGAAATAAAGAGAATAATGTTAGTTTTCAATTGACATCCAAAGTTTTTTTCGTGTTTTTCCGTTTTTCTGACGAACAACTATTTAAATTAAGTGACGTTTACTAATAATAGTTATGTTTTATTATCTTCTTATGATCTCACTGTTCCAGTATCATCAAGTGTGAGTGTTTTATCATATGCTTATATTCATTATTGTCATTACTGTATTTTAATGAAAGAATGTATGAATTACGAAAACACAGAAAATATCAACATAATATTATTGATAAAAGTATCATTAACTGATGCTCTAAATTTCTATACTTTTGAACTTTTGGTTAAGTTGAACGAAGGACTTCTTAGTTTCAAGGAAGTCTTAAACTGTGGAGTTATAGAATGTAATGAGTTTACGAAATTAGAAGTATCAATTGGACTGGTTTAGCCTGCATGTCAGGCCAGGACAGGCTGCAGGCCACTCTTTGATTTTTAGCCTGGCCTGCACAAAGGTCAGGTCAGGCCAGGCCGGAAAAAAGTGGCCTGTTGGCATCTCTGTTTTAAATTGCCCTTCCGAAAGAGAAAATCTGAATAATACACTGTCACAAACTTCGAGAAGATCAATCCAATTTTCGGAGAAATATCGTTCCATGCTCGATAAAATACTGTGAATCATGCGAAATATTCTAAATTAAGTTTTTATCTATCTACCTGAAATTTTTTCATTACGTAAAAGTACTTGTGCTTCAGTATAGATTGCTTGAAGTTGATCATGAATAAGTACTTCTTCGACTTTTTTAATTAATATTCCTAATGTTGATGAATGTAGATATGATTGAACTCGATACACTTCTTCAGCAAGACGTTGATCTACCTATTATGAACACTGTTAAATGTTTTATCACTTTTATATAAAGAAAAAAAAAAATAAAACCTTTTTTAGATATTCAGTTACAGAATTATGAGCAAGAAAAGTAGTTGCTTCAAGACGATAAAATTGTTCTGTATCTTGAAGAAATAGTATTTCAAAGTAATCTTTATAAATTGTCAATGCCGGAGATATTATCTGATGACTATTATCTTCTATGGACGCACTTTCGATCAAGCCAAGTTGGACTAAAAAATTTTCAAATGATTTTCTAATGAAAAAGAAAAGTTTTTTTTTTTTTCGTCATTCGATCTTTACCATAACTTTGTACAACTTCACTGATTAATCGACTATTAATTAATTCATTTTGTCGTTCAGATTTAATTAATTGAAGACATTCGAATGTTACTTGTTTATTGAATTTTTGAAAAAAAACTAACTTCCAAATTTCCATTGTCATCTAAATTTATTTTCAATTTTATAATTAAATTAAATAGACAAATAATTTAATTAACTTACAATAAAAATTTCATAAACATCTTTTCTTTCTAAGGACCGTTGTTGTGGTATCCAATTTCTATTTAGATAATCACAAAATCCATTTGTTACTTTACTTGAAACTAGATAATTTTTCCAATTTGTCGTATAGAAACAAAGTACACTGTCTACTTGTAAATCAAGTTCTTGCTAGAAATAAAAAATTTCTCATTACAAATAATAATAAGATATAAAATTATAAAAATAAAGAAATTATCTAAATAATATACTAGTTGTTATAAGTCTCGATGGAATCGTCGAGAATTGAGAACGAGACAACGAAAACCAGATGAAAGAAATGCTATTAATTTTGGATAAGATCTTGAAAGTCTATTTTTGAGTACGATATAAACTCGAAATAAGAGAACAGTTCAATGTTCCAAAAATATAATTCAAGGCGTGTTAAAATTATATGAACGAATAACAATAGTAGAAAATTATAGTTTATTTTGTCATCACTATAACATAATTCTATATATCTAAGCATATGATTGACATCAATACAAGAAAGAATTTTGATGTTTACAAGAGAACATTCGGAGATTATATGAAATTTCTTTCATATTGTAAATATAATTACTTAGCTATAGCTTATGAATTATAATAATTACGAAAAAATCCTTCGATATTGTTTTTCATACAGTTTATATTTTGGAAAGTCTTCAGATCGCATGTATCTTTTTTGTGGTATCTCTTCTCTTAAAATTATCATAAGAGAGTATTGAATATCTAATTTTTGTGTTGGTTTCAAGACAAAAGCTTGAATAACGTAAGCAGTAAAGAATTTCGAAAAAAAATCATCAACATATGAAATGACACGTCATTTTCAATAACGTATTATTAATCATTCTTTATTTACTTTTTTGGCACAAAAAAAGAATGTATTTTATATTTTGTTTTCTAACCTATTAATCAACCAAAATTTTATCAATATTAATCAATTGACATTCACTTTTTTTATCAGGATGTTCTGTGATATAACAGACTTATCTCGATCAGATGTTAATTTTGGAGAGAATAAATCGAAAATATTTTACAGTCATCTTGGTTTCCCTCAAGGCAGTAGTTTGAATCCATATCTATTCATTGTCTACCATTACGATCTTATCGCTTGTGTAGATGCTCATTCTAACCATATATTTGCTGATGACCTCAATGTACTCATATCTCCACCAATATGTCGAGGAATTAAGTCGATAGTTCAGTTTTTAGAAGAAGAAGAAGAAGGAACAAAAATATGTAATAAATTAGCAAATTATTTCAAGATATGGAAACAACTGGTTAATTTGTCCAAAACAGTCGTACAGATTTTCCACTCACAAGTACGAGATCCAGTAGTTGATATCTATATGGAGGGTAAAAGACTAGAAGTAGTTAAAGAATTCAAATATTTGGATTTTACGTGAACAAATAAGATATGCTTAAAACCAACGATTGATAAAACCCTTGAAAACGTTCAACGAACGTATAGTAAATTAAGATGGATGAGAGGTGGTAAAACTCTCTCAAAAGAAGTCTTGCGAAGATGTTTCTTTGTTTATAGTTTTCCATATTTTGCATGGATATTTCTCCTATATCCATTCCTACCAAAAACTCAAAAAGAATTACTTTCAAGAAAATTTAGAAACGGATTAAGAATGGTTCATCGGTGTCCCTTTGCCAGAGCAACAGATCTTATCCAAATAACAAATGAAAAGTCATTAGAAGAGTACGTAAAAAGATATATAAAGAAAAGATTAGAACGAATTGAGAAATCAGATTTAGGTCCCTCGCCATTTTACAACGACGTATTTTACTGGGATGCATTTCATAAAAGTAAACATGATTATCTGAGGCATTTTTTTTCGAATGAAACGAGGTAGACATTTGCATGAAAGACATCAATCTCAGCTTCTTCAATGGCTTGAATTTTTATTTTCATGAAATCTACCATGTAACCATTTAAGTTGTGCTCTTTCTGCTTTTAAGGTTTCTTTTTTTCTCGTTCTATTCTTACTATTAGTTTTTTTTTCTCATGCCATTCTTTGTTCTTCATTTTTTTCTTTTTTTTTATCACATTTTTTTTACCCAGCGTGACGTATTATAAATGTATTGTGCTTCTTGATATGCTTATGTCACTCATGGTAGTGAAAATCAAACAGTTGTGAATGCGTACACTATAACTTGTAAGTATTTCAGGGTGTTAACAATAAAGAGAGCGAACTCAAAAAAAAAATATATTACTTTACTTTAGAAGTCATTTGTTCAGATTCAAAAATAAAAAGTGGATAGACTTTTATTTTTATAATTAAAGAAATTTGACTTGAACATCTTTATAATCTTATAATGTTATTTTTTTTTATTAAAATTCTGTTAAGCAAATAAACTTACTTCACAAATTTTTTCTAGATAAGTTCTTAAATGATTTTTCAATCTAATATACAATTCACCACCAACAATATTTGCTCCATTTTGTGCAGTATTTTGTCCATTATTATGGGCTAGTTTTTGTGTTATTCCTGTTGACGGTTTTAATGAAAATTTTTGTGCTGGAATAGCTGTACAATAATTATAAACGTGACTATAAAAAAAATGTTTAGAGAATGAAATAAATACAAAAAAAATCATAAAGAATACAATTGTATTTACGTGTAAAGATTCATGTATGCTTTATGCGACATTTCTTCAATTCGATATATATGTTCTGTACCTTCTGATACTTTCATCCAAGTATCATTCAAGTTACTCTTACCATCTGTATGTAACATATCTTATGTAATTCACTTTGTCTATGGCGATAATACAAAAGAATATGAAGCTCATTCGCCGCAGTTAAATATAATAATAGTAATAAGTAGTGACTCATATTCGGGTTCTTTCCTCAACAGTTGCACAATAATTATGAAATCAATATTTCAAAAGGAAAATTCATACATGAAAGATGTAACTAAAAATTCCAGTGGAATATTTCTAACCAATAGGATTTTGTTAAATTGAATATAAATAAATAATGTGTAACAGATAGATGGTGATGACCATAAATACAGTATTTACTGATCGACTACTTATGAAATTGATTTTCTGGAGATATGAAGAGGTAATCAAAAACCTAGACTTACTGATCAAAATGCATTTGGATTAGTTCATCGGAACAATAAATCAAATAGTGGCATACTGTACAACATTGCAAAAAAAACCGTAGATTAATCAAGCTTCACATTACAAAAAAATTTTCCAGACACCCTTGAACGGTTCACTAATGGCCAGGACTAGTCTGAAAACTCCAAACCAGCTGTTTGTTTAGATTAAACTTCTGCAAAATATGCTAAACTGATGAATAATGGAAACAAAAAAGTAAAATGTACAATGAATTTTTTAATTTCTGCATTATTTTTACAGATAATTAGATACATTCAGATCATGACGAGAAGTAACCGCCAATAGTCTCGATATTATTTAAAGACAAATAAAAACTTCTAAGTTTTTTCTATTCTTGCACTATCTTGCAGAAGATAACGCTAGATTCAGTTAGTCCATTTTATTTAGGCTGTCAGATAAAAAAAAAAGAAATTTTCAATTTTAGAAAATGAGTTAGTTTAACGGCAGTGAGCTTGAATATAAAAAAAAAAGTATTTTTGAAGACTCGTTAAAAATCTCGTCTAGTTGTAAACTAATGTATTTTAGCTACAACTTTTCCAAATCCACTTTGTCCTTTTCTCAATTTTTCAATTGCTGTTTCTAGCTCTTCAATTGTTGGTTGTTGATTAATATATGGTTTTAATTTTCCTTGTAATATCCATTCACAAGCTTCTTTTAATCCTTGTCGAAAAAATTCGGAACGTTTTGCTTCAAATTCAGGTTTTGCTGAATACTTTCCCAAGTCAGCATGTATCAATTTCACATTCTGTTGTTGGCATATTTGTTCTTCTACACTACCTTCTTGGGCGAATTTTCCTAAAACAATCCACGAACCACCATTGGCTGTTGAACGAATCGATTTCTCAAAACTTGATGATATATATGTGGAATCAAAGACAATATGTGCACCTTGACCAACAGTAATTTCTTGGATTTTGGCAACCACATCCTCTTTAGCATGATTGATAACATGATCACAATGGTAAGTTTCTTTCAGTAATTTAATTCCTTCTTCTTTCGATGCAGAAGCAATTAATGGTGAGGCACCCAAGATTTTACAAATTTGTACAATAAAATGACCAACTCCTACAGAGAAAATAAATTTAACAAAGATAAACAATAAAATTAATTAGATGTACTATTTTTAATTGAAAATCTTACGATAACTTATGTTTTTTTTTCTAACCGCTACGTCACGCAGCTGCAGCAGTCAAATGTAGCAAAGGAAATACTGAAGAAGTTTGCTAGCCTGAAAAATCAATGCCGGAATCTCTGAAATTTAAGCAAGACAAACAAACAACTTTTAGTGCTGTCCTTTACAAAGTCTTATTGTAATGAGAGCAGACTGCCCTACACAAAAACTATATAACCATCAATATTTGGTTAGAGTATACTATTAGTTACTTACAACCAGTATGTTGTGTGAAAACATCTTTCTGAGGAGATCCTTCCTCGTCTAGATTCATCTTCAATCAATAATAGAGAAAAACTGCTGAAGCTAATGCACTCACCTCCAGATCCACCAGGTACAAAAACAGATTTTCCTTGTATTTGATTTCTTACATGTTGAAGACCATCCAACGCTGAAAGATATGCAACTCCTAGTGAAGCAGCTTGTTCATGACTAACTCCAGGGTTTTTTTTAATGAGAACACTTTCATCTGTAACACAATACTGTTGAAATCCACCACCACGTTTAAAAGTCAGACAACCAAGAACATCGTCACCAATCTTAAAATCTTTAACACTACTGCCAATCCCAACAATTGTTCCGCTGACATCGTAACCAACAACTGCTGGTAATTTAACGTGTGCTATATTTTCTATTGTCAAAAATCGAAAAAATAAATTTTATCTTTATCTTATAAAAGTTATATCTTTACTCTAACCTGCAGCCATTTTTCCATCAATAGGATTGACACCAGCTGAATAAACTTGTATCAACACATCATTTTGTTCCAAATCTTTTGGTTGTGTGACGAGAGCTGAGTCTGTAAACTGGAATGGCTTATCACCAACTTTGATCCATTGAAGACATTTTTGTTTTATTGGAATTTCTTGTTCTAATGACATTTGTTTATCTAAAATAAAATATCAAAATGACGGAGATTCATACTTAGATCAACCATCAGAAGAAATTTGAGAACGAAAAAGTCAATTCCGATTCATTTGTTAGAACTTTCTGGAGAATTGATAATTTATCAAATTTAAGTAAAACTAATGAAGCTGTATGTAGTTGTATGTAGGAGGACAATGGCTCATCAATTTAGACAACAGAGATGTCTTGTAGACCATCTTTCTGAAGCGTCCGGTTGCTTACGGGAGACAAAAACCTAAGTCATTTTATAGAGCAAAACAATATCGACCGAAAGTAAATGAAAACACTTATTACAACATACAAAACTTATATTCAATTCGCAGGTTAGTTACGAAGTAAATGGACAAGTTTGGTGAAGACTGATTAGTAATAAGTCATTTCGAGTGTAAACATATGATCACGATGCACATTGAAGATATTCAATCGATAGTAAATGCGAAGAGGCGATAGACATGTTCATGCCACATCCGTAGGCTCATCTAAATAAATAATATGTTTTATCTTACATGTCAAGAATGAGGTTAAGATGATGGCGAAGCTGATTATCATGCTGCCGTTATCAAGATGTTCACAAGTAGTCAGAGTAGTTCCTTTTATCTGACGAGATTTTTATGCAGTGCAATAGATGCGAGCAGGCTGACAGTTCTGTTACTGTTCTTCGAACTGATAAAGTCCAAATATGTAATAAAATTTATTTAAAAACAATACTTACCCAGAATTCGTTGCTAAACTCAAAATACAAGAGCTATGATCGACAATCATGAAACTGAATTCATGTGACTAAATTACGATCATATATGTTGTATACTATAGTCTTTGCAATTCATCATCTATTAAGAATATGTTGATTATCTTGATTATCATATTTGTGTCGTTGCGTAAACGTATTAATGAATCCGAATTATTTTTTTCCTTCTCTTCAAACATAATCGATCATGTGTGAAAACAAGCAGCTGTATGCTACACCTATCGTAACAAAATGATTGCTTCATCTCGTTCTCTCACCAAAATCGATAAGAAAAAAAAAGACACGTTTGTATTTACGCTAATACATAACGAAGCTTACAAGTTGTGTCCTTCTGCCTATTTCTTCTTCATACAAATAAATTGTATCGGAACTTGTCAATATAATAATCCTATTAGTCAAGAAAAATTGTTTTCCGAAAGATTTGAGTCATAGTTCCACTAAAAGACACCTACTGGAAAAAATACATATATTACGATCTAAATGGACAGTTGTCTGGTAACTGACAAGATGAATGGGACTGATGAATTATTTAAACAGCATAAGATTTACCATAAATAATAAGTAAAAACAATAACAGATGACATTTAAAATGAAAAAATAATCATTTCTTATTTCTTTCCTGTAATGTCAATTGTTATCAAAACAATAAGATTATATATCTATTTCAAAACGAAAGAATTTGTTCGATTTATTTTTTAGTTGAAGCTCATTCTATGAATTGTTGTTCAAAAAACAAGATGAGAAATGAGGAAGACCAGGGTTGTACCCATTGATTATAAATCCATTCGAGTTTATTTGTTATTTGTTGACCAATTTGTACAGCAATTATATGATCGATATTTACGTATACTTTTGTTCTCATGGATGATAATGCCGGTAATATTAATAAGAGCATGAAATTAAACATTGCAAAATCATCAAGATCTAAACATGTGCGATCATCTGTTTCATCTAATTCATTATTATCAAAATTTCAACTGTAGTAGAAGCCAATAAGAGATGGTCTATCATCGATCAAAAGTTTATTTAGTATCTTCCGGTTGTGTATGACATTTTTTGGATGCAAACAGCGGATTCTATTTAAAAGCAAATATATTCAATTAAAGTACTACATCATTCCTTATTTAG